AAGAGACAACACTTGTCCTTACAGGAATGGATCCTTGTCCTGGGCTGGGGATTTAGCTCAGTGGCACCAAGGCGCTACCCTCATGACACCTTGAGTCCTAATGACCTCCAGTGACCCAGCTTGGGTTTGGGGAGGAGCTTTTAGGGGACACCCTTGCACCGTGGCTAATGTGAATGCTGGCTGTCTCCTGGAGCCAGGCCACCCTTGGATGTTGTTGGGACTCACATCAGCTCCCCAACTTTTACAGTTCTGAGGACTTCCATGGGTCTCAGTCTTGCCAGTGGCCTAGTGTGGACCTTCTTGGCCTCTGTAGTCACGTGAGCCACGTCTCCTAATAAACCCCTTCTTGTCGGTCTCTCTGGAGAACAGAGATGCATCCAGCTGATTCAGGCTCTCCGGAAAATAGTTACGGATGCCTTAAGAGTCTGGTGAGGAGGCTGTGCGTCCACAGCCCTGAACTCCCAGGTGACGGACCTGAAAGCCTTTCTGATATGGAATAGGCAGGCTTTGGTGACTTGAATTGCAGATGTCACTGAGGAATCCAGCATGTTCGGAGATTTTGATGTCCAATGGCCTCAGAGGGCTGGGGGACCAGATATGTGGAGGTGCCTTGAACCTGTCCCAAGGGGACATGGGCCGGGTGGGTGGGTACAGGTGGCAGCTGGGCCTGGGGTACAGATGGGCTGGACCTTCCTTCTGAGGAGGTGACGATAGTGTTGGCAGAAGTGTGTGCAGCTGGGATGCGGCAGCCCAAGGCATGAAGCCGTGTCCCTGTGTTTCCTCTGGGACTGGGGCCTGGGACACCTTGACCTCCTGGCAGCAGGTGACCCACTTTCACGGGGCCTCCCTAACACCTCATCCAAGGAAAGAGCCAGGCAACAGGGCAGCAACTCCCCAGCCAGACACTCTGGGCGTTGGTCAGACCCAGGTGGACGTCAGTGACCAGGCCAGGAGACTCCTAAGGTGGGCAGACAAACAGGTGGGGTGGACTGGGTCTCCTAAGGGACCTGTGACGGTGGGTGACCTGCCGCGGGGAGGCAGCAAAGCAAGCGGGCCGCGCTGATGGATCCCAAGAAGCTGCCTGCCAAGCCCAGAAGCAGAGAGAGTGGCGGGCGATGTGAGGGGCCAGGCTGCTCAAGCTCGTGCCCAGGCACCCTTCGGGTTTCCAGGGAAGCGGCGCTGGGTGGGTCGGGAGGACCTGGGAATCCAAACCACGCACCTTGAATGCTATGAACATGAGACCATGAGCGCGTCTCCCTGGCAGCTCTTCTAGCTTGGAGATTTTAAGAAAGCGCTAATGAGAAAGGTCACTGTATTTGTGAAGCTGTGAAAGCGATTTATGGTCATTGCCTCTGAGTGACACCGAAGTGTCAGGGTTCTTTTGCAAACATCTCCTCGTCTTTGGAGAAATGTGAAGTCCTGGAAGGCAGATTCCGCCCGCCATCCTGTCCTGCGTGGCCGGGTCCTCCTCTTGTTCCGTCTCCTGCCCTCTGTTGCCCCTCAAAGCTCATCTTCCCAGCATCAGGCCACACACGGGCTGTCTGGACAGATGGCTTGGGATAAAGGTTTCTTCTCTTTTGAAAAATTCCTTCATCATTCAGCCACTGTTCCCTGAATGGTGGCTGTCACGGTGCCTGCTCCGCGAGGTGCCCAGACGGGGCTGCCCGGAGGCTTGTCTGAGCCGAGCCCTTCCCATGACTGGGTTTCTTTCTTCTCCTAATGGGTCTCGCCGCAGCTGAGCTTGGCCTCTGCTTGCAGTTTGTGTATTTTATGATGGAAAATTTCAGGCACAGACAGCAGCAGGGAAGATAGGGTGAATCCCGGGCCCTGGTCAGCAGCATCAGCCATCTCCTCGTACTCCCTCATTTCGTTAATGTGCATGGAAAGACTCATCTGGCTTAGGGATGACCTTGAGTCCTAGAAGAGATCAGGTGGGTCTTGGGCTCAGGGGATTGCAGCTGAGCTTCCCCAGGACCCCTTCCCCAGTTTCCTGCAGGATCTCATGGCTGCCAGAGTGGGGAAGAGGAGAAGACACACCAGAGGGGCCCTACTTTTATTTGGGGGTATGGGGAGCAAGGTTCTGTATGAGATTGAACTTGGGGTCCACGGTGAGGTGCCTTCTCCCACCCGCCCGCCTCCGCCACCTCCCAGAGGCACTTGCAGTAAACTGTGGGGAACAAATAAAAATCAACAGGGCCAGCTGGGGCCAGCAGGTGACACCAGCATGTTTCTGAGAGTTGCCAGGTGTCAGGTGTCAGGTGTGAAAAGCTGAATTTCTGTGTTGCCGAACCTAGTTCCTAAGCTTCGAGATACGGAAGCCGTCAGAGGACGGAGCTTTTGTCTTGGTGTAACTTGTTCCTGGCCCTCTGTTTCCCTCTAAATGTTTATAGGGCAAGGCAGGGTCTGCCCAGGCTCACTGGACCACACAGAGGTGCGGTGCTGTCTCCCCGGGCGTGGACCATGGGCGCTGAAGTAGGATTTGCTTTCGCGTGTAGTTGACATGCATGTGGCTGACCCGCTCTGAATGCCCACACTGACGGTCTTTAGGACATGCTCACACTCAGGCAGCCATGATTCCGACTTGGATTCATTTTTCCTCCTGTGGGTGCTGACAGGGCCATGGGGTGACAGCTCTCCCAATGTTCGAAAGTGCGGGTCTCAATCCCTTATGTTTTCCTCGACAGGCACCATGGGAGGACCGGAGGCGCTTGTGTTGACTTGTTGGTGGCTTGGCTTGGCTTGGGAAGCACCCAGGGAAAGCTGCCCCAGGGAGTTTTGGGCTGCGTGGAGGAATGGAGTGAAGTGACCCAGGGTTTCGTGAGCAAGGTGCCCAGAGCCAGCCCCAAGATGATGGGAGTCCATGGCAGGCCTGTGGTGTGTGGGCCACCTGGGCTTCGGAAATGAGGCCAGTCTGCTCCATGTTTATGGGGCCTTGACTATGCCAGGCTCCGTGTGCACTGTGCCCAGAACCCTTTCAAGTGCAGCTACTGGGCCCATTGTACAGGTGGGAAACCGAAGCTTTAAAAACACAGGTCAGCTCACCAGGCATGCTGGCACAAACCTGTAATCCCAGCACTTGGGAGGCTGAGGCAGGAGGATCATTGCAAATTCGAAGTCAGCCTGGGCTACATAGTGAATATAAAAATAAAGTCATATGACTTTCCCGGGGACTTACAAGAGGTCAGGCCGGACGCAGTGTGTCCTTTGTGCCGCTAAGCAGGCCCGCTGTGCTGTCTCTGGAGTCGGCCCTTAGCAGGTGCTTAGTGAAGGTTGAGTGGACAAAGCGGGTGTCATTGGAACGGTGAGAAGCGGAGCACCCAGACAACTGGGAAGTGTCCCAAGGCCTGCTGGGCACTGTGGGGGTCTGTTGGGCTGGGAGTGGACCTGGCCACGCCCCACAGAATCCTTCCACCCACTCGAAATTTGGAAGCTGTCCTCAGACTTCCTGATGGGCTCCCTTTGGCCCCTGCCCACCTCCTGGGTTCCTGACCCAGACGGGGAGGATAGGGAGGGAGGAGGAGAAGGGCAGGGCCCTGACATGAGCATCTGCTCTTTGTCTGGGAAATCCCACCAAGACCCTCAGAAAACAGCCACACCCTTAGATCTCCCCCGAACCCTGCCAGCCCGGGGTGTGGGCCTCTTACACAGGTTGTTTTTCTCCAGGAGAAATCAGCCCTAAGCCCCCGACTTTGATGACCTTCCCACGGGATATTCCTTCAGATATTTCCGGTGGCAAGTGGCTGAGGTCACGCTCCTAAATCAAATGAGGGCACTAATCTGGGTCACAGACTCCCAGGTCCAGGGCCAGGAGTGAAGGACACAGGGCTGGGGAACAACTGAAAGCACACAGAGGGCGCTGTCCTGGTGAGGGGACAGGAGACACTGCCACTGTAGTTTCCTTTGCTTTCCCCACTAAGAGAAGCCCAGGAACCAGACCCTTCGAGACATCAGTTAATTCAGTGGGGGTTTGTGCTTGTTTTTAAAGTCACAACACTGCTGGTTTAAAATGAAGCAGCTGTGGGGTGAGTCTGCTTTTCCTGTCAGGATACGGCAGGCAGGGAACGCGGTGTGGGTACCTCTCCCGCCAGCACCTGGCCTAGCCCGCTGCCTGCCTGCTTGCCAGGCTGCATTGTGGGTAAAATGCAGGGCTGGGAACCAACTCAGCAGATTCCCCTGTGACAAGAGGCCCGGCTGCTCTGGGCGCGGAGCCCTGGAGAGCCACACCTGCCCACTCTGCTTCCTTCAGGGCCTCAGGTCAGGGACCTGCACTTCCCTACAGCCCTCAGCTTGCCCTCCCGTAGCGCCTCGGGCACCTCATATCGGTGATTCTGGCGACACCACACACACCCCATAAATTCTGTCACCCCCACTTTGTAGATGTAAGACTGAGACCTGGAGAGGGTCCCCTCCTTCGGTGGGTGGGCTGTGAATGTTAGGTCGATTCCCAAGCCAGGTCGGGCCAGTGCTTTGCTCTGTGCTCCCCATCCAGTGCCAGCGAGCCAGCCCTGGGTACCAGGTGCACTGAGGGCATCGCCTGCCGTGGGAGGACACGGGGTGGGTGGAAGGGCAGGGTCACCTGGTCCCGCTCTGCGTTGGGAGCCTCAGGCGGCCCCACCTCCCAGAGCGACCTGCGCACAAGGTTGCTGACTAATTCTCTCTGCAAACGGCTCAGTTTCACATGCTTGCGTTTCCAGTAACTGCGTGGGTGGATTTGTTTCATTTAAGGGGAAAATAAAACAAAACAAAACATGGAGGGGTTTTCTTTCCCAAGAAGAGGACTTGCTAATTATGGGTTTCGCGCGCGTGCAGCTCCGGGCATCCTGGTGCAGTTCTGCAGCCAGCCCGGCCTCCTGGCAGACGGCTCCCTCCCAGGAGAAACCGCTTAGTCATTTACAAGCAGGACCAGGTGCCAGGGGTCAGGGGGTGGGAGCTGTGCTGCACGGCTCTGGCCTGCCAGGGAGCCCCAGTGCCCGCCCGGGGCTTTTTCCGGCTCAGCCCTGCCCTCGGCAGGCAGGGGGAGGGGCGCTGTGCCAAGAGGACGGTGCCAGGTGAGACGGCACCCCCGCCCTGGTGCACAGTGCCCCAGGGGACCTGGCTGGCTTCCGCTGCAGAGGGGCTGCCAGGCAGCTCCCAGGGGACAGGGAGGAGAGTGCGGGGTGCGTGAGGGTGTGGGCTGTCCGCTCGCACCCCCGCAGCACAGTGATGGCTCCACACGTGTTGGGCCTGGTAAGCTAGCTGGGCACAGGGACTTTGTGCTGGCATTGGGCAGGCCCTGGGGCCTCGGCTGTGCCCTGAACTAAAGGTGGAGCCCTTCTGTGGCTGGACAGTGAGGTTCGCAGGCTGTGGCCTGATGTGTGGCTGAGGAAGAAGGAAGAAGGGGGCTCCTAAAGGTACCGGGGTGGGGCTAGGTGCCCTGGGGCATGCAGGTCCCACCGCCCTGGACGGACAGCAGTTCAGTGACGTGTCTGGGTACAGCCAGCCTGCTTGCCTCCACCTTCCCTCCTTTCCTTCCTTTCCTCTTTCTCTTCTTCTTCCTCCTCCTCCTCCTCCTCCTCCTCCTCCTCCTGCTCCTTCTTTTTGATACTGGGGCACTCAGAGCCTTTGCACTGAGCTATATCCCCAGCCCTGTTTTTATTTTTTATTGCGAGGCCGGGTCTCCGTAAGTTGCCCAGGCTGAGCTTGAACTTCCCAGAGGGCTGGATGAAAGGCATGTGTGTGGCCTTTCCCCTTTCTTTAGGACGGTGGCTGCTCCTCCCGAGGCGGCCACACTGGGAGGCTGGGTCTGGGTATGAGGATGAAGCAGGCTAAGCCTGGCTAAGATTTGGGGGTGGTAGCTGCAGCCTGGTACTGGGGTGCAATGTTTAACCTCTCCGAAACTCACTTTCCCCCATGAAGTGGAAGTGGAAGCGTGGATGGAAAGAGGTTACCTGGCACTGTTCTGACAGCAGGGACCCCAGGCCCAGGTGCCCACATGCTGGGGGTTCCTAATCTTGGCCTTGGAGGGCTCCATATGCCATCTGGAAGAGGAAGCTGCAAATACCCAGCGTCTTCCAAACCCTGCAACCCAAAGTCAAAGGGTTCGGAGGGGAAGAGAGGCCAGTAGGGCTGGTTTTTGTTTTTGTTTTTGTTTTTTTTTGAGACAGGGTCTCACTATGTAGTTGAGACTGACCTGGAACTCACTATGTAGCCCAAGCTGGTCTCGAACTCCCAGCAATCCTCCTGCCTCAGCCTCCCGAGTGCTGGGATTACAGGCGTGTGCCACCACACCTGGCTCTGGAGGGTTTTGATGCAGACCAGCGTTTACCTGGCAAGTGAATCTGGGGAGACTTCCTGGAGGAAGCTGGGCCTTGCCTGGGCTGTGGGAGAGTTTGAGAGCAAGGAGGAGGGCAACGGGGAGAAATTTCTAGCCGATGGGAGGTGATGTGGATATAAAACCAGCAGGAGCTTAGCTGGGACCCAGAGATGCAGTGAGTGCCTAACAGATGTCAGCATCAAACTCGATTTGACTCTGGGACTCCGGTTTAGGTATTTGGAAAGAGAGAGATGCAGATGTTCAGGCCACCAGGGGGAAGGACAGTGTCAAAGCCGTGTGTAGCTGGTTTCCTGTGACAGGGGACTGATTTGCTATTTGAGGCCCCGCAGCTTCCTGGCTGCCTTGGTGGGAGTTTTTATTCCTCCTCAACCTTCTGTTTATGTCACGTGTTGTGTGTGAAGGGCCTGTGTGCCGGCTCAGCCTGGGTGTCCCCGAAAGCCAGCAGACACAGGGTGGACAGCTGTGGGCTGTGCCAGGCCAGGTGGGGACAGGAAGCAGCCTCACCCGTTCCCTTTCCCCAGACAGCCTGAAGTGCTGGTGTTTCCTGTTCCTGGGGAGAGCAGGCCTCTGGGGGCCAGGCTGACGGCAGGCAGGGGCAAAGGTGGACATGGGCACTCAGAGCCCCCTGATGCCCCTGTTTCGTGACCAGTGGAGCCTCCCTGCCTCAGCCTCTCCCCTGGCCTCATATCCTCTGTGGCCTGGGTACAGCATCTCCAGGCTGTCTGGGGACCAGACAGGAAGGCAGCAGTGTGGAGTCTTGCTTTATGGCCCACCAGGCCCCTGCCCTCTCTTCTTTGTCCCGGGGCCACCCTCCTGCCTCTGCTCCCAGGCTGGGAATCCTGGGAATACCATGAGCTTTGAACTGGATCCTGGATCATTCTCTGGCCTCCTTGAGCCCAGTTTCCACACCTGGAAACAGGTGTGAGTTCCTCTCGTGGAACCGCTGTGTGGTGAACTGAAGGCAAGCACGGTGGTCAGAGTGTTGTTCTTTTGTACATTCGGCAGTTTGGGCAGAATTCATGCAGACCAGGGCCTTTGGGCACACAGCTGGTCGAGCCAGGGTCCCTGTCCCAAGGACAGGACAATGCCTGGTGAAAAAGGGGCCCTGGCATGGGTGGGGTCCTTGCATCGAGTCTGGAGAAAAGCCCAAGCGGTGCAGCAGGGTCCCTGTTCTGTGTGTGTCCCAGGCTCCCTGCAGCCGGCATTGGGTCGGGGCCAGAACCACAGCAGCCCTCAGTGAGAGGAGGAGACTGCAGAGGGGAGAGCCAGGAAGGTGGAGAGGGCAGACTGGATGGGGCAGTGGGTGACTGGTTTTAGGTGGCTCTGAGTGAACTCCGTGGCTGCACTGTGTTTTGTGGCCACTCCTCCTCCACAGTTTCAGGTGGGAAGCCACCCGCCTGCCTGGGCTGTCCTCAGACCTCCCTGGGGACCATGGCTGGGCCTCGGCCTGCGCCAGTCCCCTGCCTGCTGGGTGCTTGAGTCAGAGGCAGCCAGGTCCGGAGACTGCAGTGCAGCCCACCGTACCTGCTCAGGGCCGGGCCAGGGCCCCTGGTGGGGACGCAGATGTGCAGGTCGCTGTGTTTTCTCGGTCTCCACCCCCTGCTGTAGTTTCTCCCTCCTCAATGTGCACGGTGGAACCTTCCTCCTTCAGATGTGTACAGACACTCCAGAGCGAGCGCCAGACAGTGTCCTAGGCAGGGGCTGGAGCCGGAGGAAGACAGACTGGAGGGTGACACCAGCTGTTCTTGTCTGTGGCCAGGACCATCCCCTGTGTTTTGAACACGTCCACCTGCACGGCCTCCTCCTCTACCGGAGCCAGATGGCCATAACCTCCAGAGGAGGTATGTGCGAATGTGGGGCACCCGCATTTCCCTTGTGCCTTGGGAGGGCCAGGAGAGTCCCTGTCTCTCAGTGTCCCCTGCACACAGTTGTGGGGTGTTTTATAATAGCTGGTTTGTTCAGCACATCTCCTTTATTCCTTGATGCACAGGGAAGAGCACACCCATCGCCCCCTTCCACTGTGGAGTATTTGAGGCCATGGAGCAGAAGGGGAGGGAACTGGGGACACAGCTTGTGAGGAATCCCAGGGGAGGTCTTGGAACATTGTCCAGGCAGACCTTGTCGATCACTGTTGGGTTCCTGGTGCCCACCTGGCATGGTGTCAGGGGCGTGGTGGGTGCTCTTTAGGAGTCTGGATGGATGGGTGTATGGATGGATGGATAGACGGGTGGGTAGGTAGGTGGATGGGTGGATGGGTGGGTGGGTGGATGGGTAGATGGGTGGAGGGATGGGTGGTTGGGTCAGTAGGTGAATGGGTAGACGGAGGACCTAGCCAACCTCCTTACTAATAATGGAGAATCTAGCACCTTTGACCCAATCCAGCACATATTCCATGGCGATCTGTGGACTGTCTCCCTCAGCACTGCATCATCCTTGACCTCAGTCCCCATGTCTAAGTCAGTGCTTGGCACACAGTAGGGATTGGGTTCCTCAACCAGAATGAAGACTGAATCAGCTGGCCCTTTCCCAGTCCTGTGTCCCCTGTAGGGTCATGTCTACTCATAGCTGGCCATTCCTTTGCTTTTGAAAGTGTGCTGAGGTGGGCTCTGTGTTTTTATTTCCTTGTAGGGACTTCTCACTTATGTCACCTGTGTTCTTGAGGCTGAAACCTCCCTGGGGGTTGGGTTTACTGGGTTGGGGTTATAGTACACTCTGGACATGAAAGGATGGAAGCCCTCAATTTCAAGGGAAGACCCTCACTCCTTCTTTTAAAAGAGGCATCTCAGCTGGGCATGGTGATACGTGCCTGTAATTAATCCCAGCTCTCTGGGAGTCTGAGGCAGGAAGGTCATAAGTTCTGGTCCAGCCTGGGCAATTTAGTGACTTAGTGAGATCTTGTCTCAAAATAAAAAATAAAAAGGGTTAGGGCTGTACCTTAGCGCACAGGTCCTGTGTTTAATCCCCAGTACTGCCAGAAGTAAAATAGTCATTTCACCTCCCCTTGTCTGGCCCTTCCACATCTGAATTCCTGAGTCCTGACTCCCGCCGTCAGGCCCAGGCCACGGGAGAGACTTCGCCAAGGATTCTGATGACAGAGGCAGCGGGTAATTACAGGTGCTGGAAATAGTCCCATTTCCTCTTAGCCTCCTCCTCCTATCCCCCTCAAAAAAGAAAACAACAAATTTCCCCAAAAATACTAAGCTGAAAAAAGCTCTTAAACCTTAGTTTAGTCTGCAGGGGCAACCCGGGTGGGCGGCCTTAAACATTTGCATTCCTGGGGCTTAGCGGCCCCCCGGAGGGTCGAGTTTCTGGGTTAGTGGTCCACCTAGCAGAGCTAGAACCCATACAAAGAGAGTGTGTGCGGCGGAATTCCAAGTATCTGGACGGCCGGGGGTGGGGGCAGGCGCGGGGCCCACACTTCAAATGCTTGGTTGGGTGAGAGCCGCTCCGTGCAACCTCGGCAAAACCTACCCTGATCAGGGTTCACCGCTGGGTGTCCAGAGAGAGGCGTTTCCACAGTTCGGGGCTTTGGACCTCGGAGCGTGTGCCGAGCAGGGGACCCTGTCCAGAGGGTGAGGCGTCTGGGAGTCCAGGGAGCGGCAGTAGTGGCGCGTGGGTGGGAGGTCACCATTTTCTCCTGGCCCTGATTGTCCCTGTGATGTGCTGATGGGACCAGCCTGACAGCAGAGGTGGACCACATGACCAAGTCGTGCGGGCTGGAGGGTTGTGGACTGG